GCATATTGATCGAAGTGAAATATTTTAAGCCACTTTATTGAAACTTTGTTAGTGCCCTCTAGTGGTATTTAAAAATCCTTTATTTTTAATAGGGCACACTAAATAAAGCATTTTGGTCACAACCCAGGATGCATGCATTATAAACCTACTTGTAGATTCAGACACACTGAAGCATCGCATTTGAATCATAATTATGAACCATTTAAAAATTGGAGATTTATTTTTTAATTATGAAAAATTCTGTTAATAGTACCATGTCCAGTCTGTGTATTATTAGCTGTTTGTTACCTACTATTTCATTATATTGGGATGAGAGCAGATAATCCTGTAGGCAAGCACACTTTTTTAAAAGTTAGGAATTCTAACACATCTCAACTTTTAAATCTAATAGATTGATATGCTGCTGAAAGAATATTTACTCTCTGGAGATATATCTGAAGCTGAACATTGCCTTAAGGAACTGGAAGTACCTCATTTTCACCATGAGCTTGTATATGAAGTAAGATTACCTTGCCATATCTAAAAGAATTAAGTATTTCATGTTGTACCACAGTGATTTATGCTTTTTTAAATAATATACATCTTTTTAATGTCAAAGGAGGAATTGGTTTTTAAATTTTTATGATTACAAAAGGCATCTGGTACATTTTAGGAGCAGTTTTGTCTATGAATAACCAAAAATTCACTCATTCGTTCATTCAATTTTTAGGCTATTATAATGGTTTTAGAGTCAACTGGAGAAAGTACATTTAAGATGATTTTGGATTTATTAAAGTCCCTTTGGATGTCTTCTACCATTACTGTAGACCAAATGAAAAGAGTAAGTATAACATTATTTTTGAATAATTTTTAGGATTATGCTTTCAATATATGATTGAATAAAGATTATTAATTGTCAATGAAATTTTCTTTAGGTATATTTAGTGTTATTATGCCTATATGTTTTGTGTTTTCTTAATAGTAATGTTTGAGGTTTGAATCTTTTGCAACCATTTCTTGGAAATTAACACTGCAGTGGGTTTTCTACCTACTTTAACAAATGTGATTATGTACTCTACCTCAAAGGTTCAGTTTCTAAGATGTGACAAGTTCTATTTTATATCTAGAGAGAAACATGAACTTTTAACACATTATAAAGTACTTTTTTCCTATTTAAAATTTTATGTATTGTTGTTTAAATGTTGGTCAGGTTTTTACTTTTTTTGCCTTGTATTTTTTTTAAAGATACTAAATGTATATAGAGAAGTAGATGGCAAAGGAGTTTGCTCAGTATCTGATGTCTGCCTGCAGCTCTTTTGAGAGAACAGTATTTAACATTTTTTTCGCTATGTAACCAATTTTACTTATTATATTTTTAATTTTAGATATCAGAGGGGTATATGTGCAGGTTTGTTAGATGGGTATATTGTGTGATGCTGAGGTTTGGGCTTCTAATTAATGATCCTGTCCCTCAGGTAGCAAACATAGTACCTGATAGGTAGTTTTCAACTCTTGTCCTCTTTCCCTGTCCCCGCTTTTGAAATTCCCAATGTTTATTGCTTCCATCTTCATGTCTCTGTGTACCCAGTGTTTAGCTCCCACTTATAAGTGAGAACATGCATTACTTGGTTTTATGTTTATGATAATTTTCTTAGGGTAATGGCCTGCAGCTGCATTCACGTTGCTGCACAGTACATGATTTCATTCTTTTTTATGGCTGGGTAGCATTCCATGGGCGTATATGTACCACATTTTGTCTAATCTGCCATTGATGGGCACTTGAGTTGACTCCATGTCTTTGCTCTTGTGAATAGTACCCAATAAATATACAAATGTAGGTGTCATTCTGGTAGAATGATTTCTTTTCCTTTGGGTATACACCCAGTAATGGGATTGTTGGGTTGAATGGCAATTCTGTCTTGAGTTCTTTGAGAAATCTCCGAACCATTTTCTACAGGGGCTGCATTCCCACCAACAGTGTATAAGCCTTCTGTTTTCTCTACAACTTGCCAATGTCTGTTATTTCCTGACTTTAATAAAGAGAACAGTTTTAAAGTAAAATAGTGTAACAAATCTACTACTTTCTGTGCTTCTCGGGATTCAAATCTGGCTTCAGTTTAACCATATGAACATTTGGCCTTAAATGTAGATTGATGACATAGTGATGGGTTGTGTTTTATGACACGTATTATATGGGCTAACAGTTCTTTGTGTAATTTCATTGTTGTAGGGTTATGAGAGAATTTACAATGAAATTCCGGACATTAATCTGGATGTCCCACATTCATACTCTGTACTGGAGCGGTTTGTAGAAGAATGTTTTCAAGTTGGAATAATTTCCAAACAACTCAGAGATCTTTGTCCTTCAAGGTACTTTATTTAAATACTACTTTCTCAATATTAAATAGTGGATGAGGTCTTTGGGAAGGTTAAGGGCTAAGATAGTTTATCATTCCAGCTCTTTAAGAAAAATATCTTCCCTTAAGTTACTGAAGAGCGTGACTCGTGTTTGTTTTGAGTTCATGGAAAAACAAGGGCGAAGCTTGTTTTAGCCCCCTTGTAAATCTGTACAGGACTGCCTCATGAAGTCCCAGTTCATTTGAAGGAAACTAATTTTGTGGAGCAGTTCCTTTGTTACAAGTAGTTTCAGTGTTATTTTAGAGTAGGTATTATCAGTAATAAGATGAGAAAATTGAGGCTTAGGAAGGTATAATGTACTTTTTCTGAGGTCACATGGCTAGTATGTGGTAAAAGCCAAGTATGAATCCAGGACTTTTCTGGCTTTAAAGATCTAGGCTGTTATCTGTACTGTATGTGGCTTCCTTGACTTCTTTACAGGTTGGAGAATTGAGGCTAATTGGATGTTCTCACTGGAAAGTGGGTCTATGTGTGGATGTTCTCACTGCAAAGTGTGTGGGTGTGTGGGGATGTTCTCACTGGAAAGTGTATGTGTGGGTGTATGTGGGGATGTTCTCACTGGAAAGTGTATATGTGGGTGTATGTGGGGATGTTCTCACTGGAAAGTGGGTGTGTGGTTGTGTGTGGGGATGTTCTCACTGGAAAGTGTATGTGTGGGTGTATGTGGGGATGTTCTCACTGGAAAGTGGGTGTGTGGTTGTGTGTGGGGATGTTCTCACTGGAAAGTGTATGTGTGGGTGTATGTGGGGATGTTCTCACTGGAAAGTGTATGTGTGGGTGTATGTGGGGATGTTCTCACTGGAAAGTGGGTGTGTGGTTGTGTGTGGGGATGTTCTCACTGGAAAGTGTATGTGTGGGTGTATGTGGGGATGTTCTCACTGGAAAGTGTATATGTGGGTGTATGTGGGGATGTTCTCACTGGAAAGTGGGTGTGTGGTTGTGTGTGGGGATGTTCTCACTGGAAAGTGTATGTGTGGGTGTATGTGGGGATGTTCTCACTGGAAAGTGGGTGTGTGGGTGTGTGTGGGGATGTTCTCACTGGAAAGTGTATATGTGGGTGTATGTGGGATGTTCTCACTGGAAAGTGGGTGTGTGGTTGTGTGTGGGGATGTTCTCACTGGAAAGTGTATATGTGGGTGTATGTGGGGATGTTCTCACTGGAAAGTGTATGTGTGGGTGTATGTGGGGATGTTCTCACTGGAAAGTGTATGTGTGGGTGTATGTGGGGATGTTCTCACTGGAAAGTGTATATGTGGGTGTATGTGGGGATGTTCTCACTGGAAAGTGTATGTGTGGGTGTATGTGGGGATGTTCTCACTGGAAAGTGTATGTGTGGGTGTATGTGGGGATGTTCTCACTGGAAAGTGTATGTGTGGGTGTATGTGGGGATGTTCTCACTGGAAAGTGGGTGTGTGGTTGTGTGTGGGGATGTTCTCACTGGAAAGTGTATATGTGGGTGTATGTGGGGATGTTCTCACTGGAAAGTGTATGTGTGGGTGTATGTGGGGATGTTCTCACTGGAAAGTGTATGTGTGGGTGTATGTGGGGATGTTCTCACTGGAAAGTGTATGTGTGGGTGTATGTGGGGATGTTCTCACTGGAAAGTGGGTGTGTGGTTGTGTGTGGGGATGTTCTCACTGGAAAGTGTGTGGCCAGTACCCTGGCATTGGCCTTTTGAAAGTTTTTCAGCCTCTGTTTCAAAGTCTGTGTGGCTTTATTCTCAAGGGTCACATGAGGAGATAACTAAACTTTCTGTTTATACATACCATACTGCTTTGACTTTTGTCCTTTATCTTTTAGCCTATTTGGGTGAGGTGCATATTTGTGTGTGGTTTTGCATGCTTGTGCATACTGGCCTGCAGTCAGAGAGTAAGGGCTAATGTTGCCCAAGTTCTATTTCCCACTTACTGTTTTAGGCCACTGTCCAGCTGTTCCTTCTGGGCTGTTGCTACTACATGTAGCTGGAGTGTGGGCTTATATATTATAGAGCAGGGCTTCTAAATGGAGCATAGGCTATAATTCTGATTTGTTTTTCCCACATTCAAGTTACCGTTTTTCTATAGCTGATACAAGATTTTTTTAAATTGTCAAACATGGATATTTTGATAGATTCCACAGCTCCAGTTTGCATAATTCTGAATTATGTTAGTGTTTCCTATTTGGCTCACTGTTAAGTTTACAGATAATAATAATGTAGAAATAAATATTAAACTTCTAAATAAAATAAAATGTTTGCTTTAGTTTGACATCAACTTTTTAAATGTGATTATTTGGATAGTGCTAAAAAAAACAAACTCAGATTTGACATTGATGTTTTTATGCTTTTATAGAGTAGGGAATCCTTTCCAAAGGAATTAGAGGTATGCTGATTTTTTTTTTTAAAGGAAAACCCTTTAAAAGCTAATATGTAACCAAAAAATACCAAGTTTTAAATTTTTTTATTGACTATAGTTAGAAATTGTATCTGTTTTCATGGGTTTTTTTTTTCTTCATTACAGGGGCAGAAAGCGTTTTGTAAGCGAAGGAGATGGAGGTCGTCTTAAACCAGAGAGCTACTGAATATAAGAACTCTTGCAGTCTTAGATATTATAAAAATATATATCTGAATTGTAAGAGTTGTTAGCACAAGTTTTTTTTTTTTTGGCACTTGTTTTGGGTACAAGGCATTTCTGACATTTTATAAACCTACATTTAAGGGGAATTTTTAAAGGTAATGTTTTTTCTTTCTTTTTTTTTTTTTTGAGGGGCAAAGGAGGGACAGAAAAGAAACCTCTCCTTAAGTGGAATATTCTAATAAGCTACCTTTTGTTAAGTGCCATGTTTATGACCTAATCATTCCAAGTTTTGCATTGATGTCTGACTGCCACTCCTTTCTTTCAAGGACAGTGTTTTTTGTAGTAAAATCACTGGTTTATACAAAGCTTTATTTAGGGGGTAAAGTTAAGCTGCTAAAACCCCATGTTGGCTGCTGCTGTTGAAATACTGTGCTTTGGAAGTTAAAAAAAAAAAGAAAGTTATTTGTCTTAAAGAATTAAAAAAAAATTAGTCGTGAGACTTATTCATCTTTCTAGGGAACATACTGATTGGTCTTAAAAGACTACACAGTGAAGTAAATGGTGGCTGGAACATCTATTTTTCTACAAAACTGGAAAAATGAACCTGGTTCTAGAAGAATGTACACCAAAATAAAAGATGTGAAGCAGTGTTGATTCTTTATTGGGAGTACATTTATTTTAGATCTTTTAAACTTTAATTTCACACAGCAAATTTTAAATCTCATAAGGAAGCATATTTGAACTTAGTGAATTTAATCTTAGTGTTCCTTGAAAACTTTTTTTTCCTACAAACTTTTAAATCAAAAGTACAATAGTAAATTAAGAATACGCTCAGGAAAGAAATGCAGTATCACTTTCTTCCACTCTTACCTGATCTAGAGCTTAAATAAGTTTTAGAAATATGTAATACCTTCCATCATTCCATTCCTAAATTCTGTTACCAAATAATGGCTAGTGTTAAAAAAAGTTATTCTCCAAAGACTGAAAGCTTGACATTTACCCAATGTCTGAGAAAATATGACCTACCGATTAATAACAAAAGAATGATCATACTTTGAAACCACTTTTTTGTTGAGACAGAGTTTCGCTTGTTACCCAGGCTGGAGTGCAATGGCGTGATCTCGGCTCGCCGCAACCTCCGCCTCCTGGGGTCAGGCAATTCTCCTGCCTCAGCCTCCCAAGTAGCTGGGATTACAGGCACACGCCACCAGGCCCAGCTAATTTTTCTTATATATTTAGTAGAGACGGGGTTTCACCATGTTGACCTGGATGGTTTCGATCTCTTGACCTTGTGATCCACCCGCCTCGGCCTCCCAAAGTGCTGGCATTACAGGCTTGAGCCACCGCGCCCGGCCTCAACCACTTTTACATAGCCTAATAACTCAGCAAGCCCTCAAGGTGTATGCTAAACTGCCAAATATTGAATGCAGCAAACCGACAATTATATTCAGAATTTATGTGGGTACTATTAGGAGTATACCGATTGCAAGTTTAGATACAGTCTGTTAGAATTAAAACCAAGTTTAATGTTCATATTTACCTCATATTACCTAGGCTTATAATACAGTTAACATTTTTAGGTTTTTAATTGACACCTGGATGATAAACACCATTATGTAATTCTCAAGTCCTTAACATTAATGTAATTAAAAGCTTAGCTGATTACAGAGTAGGGGAGGGTTTCTTCAAAATGAGATTTAATACAGTTTTATCATTACTGGTAGGATCTGGTCACACATGACAGTATTAAATGTGACATGGCACCTAAAATTGGTTAAAAAAATTTTTTTAATTGATTTGTTTAATTCAATAATGTAAAAGCCCAACAAACACTTTATGCAACACTGGAATATATCTTCCAATTCAGATTTTAATAAATGTGTAAAGATCTATTAGTCCCTTGTGCCCAAGAATGTTATCTATAAGAGATAGCAACAGGAATGGTGAACAAATAATACACAGTTCTAAAAACATGAGTAAAAAACCCCATAAAATTTGGTTCATAGTAACTATGTTCAATACAAACCAGAGTGTTTACACTCACAATACAAATTTCATCAATCTTAGGTATATTTGTATTTATATGAATACTATCAATTTTATTGATAATATTAACAAATACTACTTTCAGCACACAGAAGCATATGATTTTCTAGTTACTGTTAAACAGTAGGTAAGACAGGTTGTTCCCTAAAGTGCTTCAGTTACCGTTCAGTGGGTTATTTGCCGTTGATTCTTTTCTGCCATTTCTTGTTGGCGAATTGTATCCTGTGCTGCTTGATGCATTTTCTCTAGTTTTTCCAGAGTCAGAGATTTTAAAGGTAAAAGTTTGGGTTTACACAGCACCATTGTGGTTATATCTTCCACAAACAATGGCCCTAAGTTTAATAAGAAATAAGAATTAAGAAAAGTAACCCAGTGGTTTGGTAGTTGGATTTGCAGCTAGAATGAAGGTCTAAAAAATTAATACGTTGTCACTGAAAAACTCTTGTACCTAAACTGAGTTTTGCTGTGGGACCAGAAAGATCATAGTCACCCTATAGGCAGCATTTCTTACTACTGGGGTGTTTCTGAGGAAAATAAGTTTTGAACTTTCTACCCAAGAATTTATGTTATCATAAGACAAAACTTTGTGTCAGAAGTTTTATTTTAAAATAAGATTGGGCAGGATATATATGTAGTGCAAAAACTATAGCAAAGTATGGTATTTAACATACATATTCAAATGCCTGTTTAAACCTTCAGCTTTTCTGTCACTTAAGGTTTCTCTTTCTCCACTTTCAGACCTTATTAACATTATAGTAAATTCCATTATATCCTTCATTGAATTTCATATTGAGCCGGGCATGGTAGCTCATACCTGTAATCCCAGCACTTTGGGATCTCAAAGGGGTTGGATTGTTTGAGCCTAGGGGTTCGAGACAGCCTTGGCAACACAGTGAGATCCAGTCTCTACAAAAACAAAACTAGCCAGGCACAGTAGCACATGTCTGTTGTACTAGCAAATCGGTAGGCCAGGACATGAGCCCAGCAGTTCAAGGCTGCAGTGAGCTATGATTATGCCGACTGTATCCAAGCCTAGGTGACCGAGTGAAAACATGTTCTCTTAAAAAAAAATTCATATTGTAGTTAGCAATTTTAGGTATAAGTAACAATGCTTCATTTGTTATCCTTTTACTGGAAAGAAAAAAGTGAGGATCCCTCCTTTATAATATACTGATGAGAAAAGCATATACTAAGAGTAAACAGTAAATGAGACAATATGGAACACAACAGCTGCAGATGTTTAGCTATTAAGCCTGCTATGTGACACTGCCTATCACTTGGTTAGTCTCTGTAATAATGATCTCAATATTTGTGATGTACTACCTTGTTTTGGAAGAACTTCCCGGAACACTGGCTTCACTTCTGCCATGTTGGAGTTGTTGGATACAGTGTTTTCCCCTTGAATGAGAAATCAGTGTTATTCAAGTATAAACTCCCAAAGCAGATTGCCTGAGACATTTCCATTGTAGTTTAAGCAGTAAAATCCAAATTCCTATAGAAAGTGAACCACCCTTGCATAATATTGCCATTAATTTCCTGTGACCTTGGGATAGTTTGTATAAGCATCTTGTCAACTTTCATTAATCAGCTATGTTAACTACAAGGCTGGCGGGTGTTCTAATTTATTTTTCTCTCATAGTGAAAACTTGGTAGAGCTTTGGTTTTTAAGGCAAAGATGATTAATATCATCTGAGGAAAAGGTATGTGTGTGTAGCCAGCGTGGTTCATTGATAGCATTTCTCCTGAATGGTGGGTGACAAAAAAAACATGACCACCAGTTGAGAGGGTGAGGCAGGTAGTTACGAAAAGGAGGAAGTGGCAGGCAAACATTTCCTAAGATTCTTACTTCTTTCAACAAACAGCTAACAGCTGGATTCTACTTTGTGCCTAACACAAAGCATCCTATGGATCAGTTACTGGCTACACAGCTGCAATTTGTAACAAAGTAATGCAATAGGTGAAATTGGCTACTGAAGAATGGAAATATGGTGTGCTTTCAGCTTGCTATTTTCCTCTAATACTGAGATTCTATATGCTAAAGGACCAGCAAATACTTAACCAGGAGTATTTGTTATGAACATCCCAGCAAACATACCGTTTTTGCTAGTGATATTTGCTTCAAGTATTACAGCCAAGATTCTGCTATGCTGTATGCTCAAGGTGTTCTGGACTAAACTGTAGAATGATCCCTTTCCAAACACAGATGCTTTTCTAGACAGTCCCACCCACTCAGTGATTCACCTTGCTGATGCAACCTTAGCATGCCTCTTTCACAACATCACCCCCACAGATTTATTATTTATAAAGTGGTGATGCTGGCTTGGTGCCTACCTTTAACAACCCCTGCAAATTAATTACAATCAAGTGAAGCTGCTTCTGGTCTTTGTTATTCCCACTCCACTACTTTGACATTCCTAATAAAAGCTTTCTCCTCTGTATCCAAGTCTCTTCATCTCTCTTGCTCAGATTTTTATTCTGGAATGTCCAAGTTCCTGAAAACCTCTATCTGCTTTCCAGAACTTTATCATCAAGTGTCACCCCTATAGTGTTCTAGCAAGAAGGTGAAATAAGTAATGGACCAGGAATAAAGCAACTCACCACTTAAATAGAATATGAAGTAAATACAATGTGCAATTTCCTTAGACTGCACAGCTTCTCCTACCATATTCTTTCCTTTTTAGGTCTGCCAGTGGTACCTAGTGATCACTGCTTTTCTTTTTTCCAGGTTAGGATGAAGGCTAACAACACTACAGACCTGATTAGCCTTGAGTTGAGCTATCAAAAACACCACCTAGCCTCTCCATTAAAGACATCACAGTGAAAATATTACGATCAAATTTCCTTATTTGAAGCAAATCTGACATGGTATGCCACTGAAAGAGAGGACATTATAGATGTTGATAAATGTGAAGGGAATACATAGCAGCTAAGGATTTTTGTATGTATCACCAAAATGCTAAAGTGGTAGGTGAACAACTTTTAGCATAAGTAACTCCAGCTACTCTGAATTCAGTCACTATTCTTTGTTTTCTCTTAGTCTGATAACCTCTTTCACATCCAAAATCTGGCCTGACAAAAACAATGAAACTTGGTGCTCTACCAAACCTCAGTTCTGTTTGACTAAGCTGCCATTGTTACTGGAAAGGGTGTGGAGCCAAAGGGCTGGTAGGAGTGGGTTGCGCCTAGTGGGGGGGGGGGGAGATCAGTGCCAGTCACTCACCTGGGTAGAATCTCTGTTTTAATAGGGTTGGTTCTTGTTTCTAGGCCCCCTTAGGCATTGGCAGGAAAGAAACAGGAAGGGAAGGGCTAAAATAAGCAAGGTGGTGGTTGGATGGCCAGCACTGGCTGAGCTATACTTTCTTGATAATCAGCTGCCCTGGGAGTCCAGAGTAGGAAGAGTTCAGTCATGTGTTTCTTAATGATGGGATATGTTCTCAGAAATGTATCATTAGGTGGTTCTGTCATGGTGCAAACATCCTAAGAGTGTACTTACACAAACCTAAATGGTATAGCCTAATATAAACGTAGGCTATATGGTAGAGTCTACTGGGCCTAGGCTATAAAGATGTCCATGTTACCTTACTGATACAGCAGGCAATTGTAACACAATGGTATTTGTGTATCTTAACACAGAAAAAGTAAAGTGTTCTGCCACAACATCACAAGTGTTACAACACTATGACATCACTAGGCAACGGAATTTTTCAGGTTTATCATAATCTTATAGAATCACTGTTGCATATGTAGTCTACTATTGACTGCATGTTGCTATACAGTGCACGACAGTATTTCCTTCTCCCACATGGCCTGCTAATAGCCAGACATGGGTGATTTGCTTAGAGTAACGTGCTCTAAGGAGTTGTCGCTGCTTTTAAGAGAACTTTTTTGGCCGGGCGCGGTGGCTCAAGCCTGTAATCCCAGCACTTTGGGAGGCCGAGGCGGGTGGATCACGAGGTCAACAGATCGAGACCATCCTGGTCAACATGGTGAAACCCCATCTCTACTAAAAATTACAAAAAATTAGCTGGGCACGGTGGCGCGTGCCTGTAATCCCAGCTACTCAGGAGGCTGAGGCAGGAGAATTGCCTGAACCCAGGAGGCGGAGGTTGCAGTGAGCCGAGATCGCGCCATTGCACTCCAGCCTGGGTAACAAGAGCGAAACTCTGTCTCAAAAAAAAAAAAGAGAGAGAACTTTTTTGTCAGGTGAGATGTATTTAAACCAGGGACAGATGGACCAAAGGAGAAACATAACAGCTGTGGTTGAAATTCATGTGTATTCTACAACTGCCATGGCCATTTAATTCAATAAATATGTGAGTTTTTTACCATGTGCCTGGCATTGTTCATAATAAACAGGATAAAACCCCAAACCTTTGCCTTTTTGGAGCCTACAGTCTGGAGTAAGAACAGAGAAACAACAGCATGCCAGAAGGTAGTAAGAACTATAGAAAATAGCATAAAGGGGATTAAGGAATGCTGGAGGTGGGGGTGGTATTTCAATTTTAAGAGGAAAATCATGATGACCTCATTAAGAAGGTGACATTTAAGCAAAGACTGCTTTTGTGTCTGTGAATGCACGTGTAATGTCTTTTGAAACTGCAAAAAGTCAAAAGGCTGATAGTTTCCACAGGTAGGGATGGGAAATTAGCACTGTTGTTAAGCTTTTTTAGAGGGATATTTTGCAGTACTGTATCTACTAAAACTAAATATGCACATTTTCTTTGACTCAGTAATTGGCTCTAAAGAAACAACAGCACAAATGTATAAAAATAAAAGAATATTCATTAAAGCATTGCATTGAATGGCAAAATGTTCAGCAATAGATGAAGCTTAATGTTCACCAACAGGTCAAAGGTTAAATAAATCATGGAAAATTCACACAATGAAATACTATGCCAAATTTAAAAATGATGCAGCTCGCCAAGGTATACTTTAAGAGAAAACATTAAGTTACAGAAGTAAAATGAAATTATTCTTACATTAATAGAACCAAACTTAAAATGTTCACAGTGTCAATTCATCATTTTTTTGAAGCCCTTGTTCTAGATAAATGGAAAATAATCTGCTGCTTCTTTTTCTTATGTAGTTTCTAGTTTGTAATTTTTCCCAGAGATAATAGTTTTTTGATGGATAGTGCATTTCAAAATCATGACAAGGTACACAAACCTGTTGTTGCTATTTGAGCTAAAATTAAGGCAGAAAAACTTGAAAGAGAACCAAATCTTTGTCATGAAATATTTTAGTATGCTTTAGGAATGAGAGTTAAAAGACATGTCTAGGGAAGATAATTGCCTCCAAATCAATCATACACATTTGGCAAGTTAAAAACCCCTGGTGTGATTTAGTTGAATAACCAAATTACATAACGGGTGTGAGACCAGACTCGATCACTGAAGTGTACTTCTGAACTTTAAGAATATATCGTCAGTGGTCCTCAAATTTTCTACTTGTATACACCCAAAGATATTTTGGAAAACTAGGTATCATTTCATACATTTCTAAATTGATGTTTAAATTTTTTTATCATAAATTTAAATTATAAAGGATGTACTTTCTGGCATATTTAAAAATAACATCTCAGTCTTTAAAAAACATATCCAATATAATCTATACATAATAGCAATTTGATAGCTACCATCATCCATTAATAAAAATAGCTCATTTTTAAGTTAGAAATTTTATATCATCTTTTTTTTTTCCTGGACCTCTATTTCCCACCCACTTTATTCTAATATTTTCATATTTTCATCCCTGATATTTTAATGATCTTCCTAGCATACTTCTTTGCTATAAAAATGTTTATAAATTTAAACTTTAAAATATTTTGGATTCAGTTATTACAATTGGTATGAAATTGGTCAAAAGGAATTATACACTGATAAAGTAATTGTTGAACATAAAAAATAAAGTGATTGGCCATGTATCTGTCAATAAGGATATAGCTTTATTTTCTCAATTAGTTCATGTTTATACATGGCTGAAAACGTACTTACTGCTACAATTCTATTCTTTTACTTTTGTTTTTTGAGAGAGTCTTGTTCTGTTGCCCACGCTGGAGTGTAGTTTCATGATCTCAGCTCACTGCAACTTCTACATCCTGGGTTCAAGTGATTCTCATGCCTCAGACTCCTGAGTAGGTGGGATTACAGGTGTGTGCCACCATGCCTGGTTAATTTTTGTATCTTCAGTCAAGATGAGGTTTCACCATGTTGGCCAAGCTGGTCTCAAACTTCTGACCTCAAGTGATCCACCCACCTCGGCCTCCCAAAAGCTGGGGTTACAGGCGTGAGTCACTGTGCCTAGCCCTATTTTTCATTTTTATAGATGTAAACACTGAGGTAAGAATGGGACATTTTTTTTTCAATCTTTGAACTTAAGTTTTATGCTAACAATCATGT